GGCGGGGCGGGGGAGGGGCTGCGCCAGGATCCAGATGTTCAGGTCGGCCAGGCACAGCCGCGCCTGATTAAGCCACTTGGGGGCCAGCCCGGGATGCCGAGATGAAAGCAAGCGCCCGGAGGGGACCGGGCGCCCCCTTCCCTCCCCGCGGCCCCCGGTGACCCCGTGACCCCGAGAGCGGCCGCCTGGTCTGCTGGGGAGGAGCGACTAGGGCGCGCGGGGCGTAGGCACCTGTGCCAGGCAGGCCACCGGGACTCAGAGGGGCACCCCATTTCCATGTCGGAAAGAGGAAGCTGGGGAGATCTCCTAACCCCAGATGGGGTGTGGCACTCAGGGAAGCCACAAGTGTCCCTCCGGGCTTGCCCAAAGCTTTCCCACCAGAATTAGAAGTTAGCCCAGAATGGTCTCTCACTAAGGTGGCTCCTAGTTGGGTTCCTCCAGGTCGTTGTTTCTGCACTGGGATGAAGGGAGGTGGCCCTGATATTGGGGCATTGGAGGCTCTGACACTTCCTGGAGGAAGCAGTTGCCCAGGAGGTCCCTCCGCCTGGGACCTAGTGTCACAGAAACAGCCAGGCTTTCAGGCTGGGCTCCAGCCCTATGGTCCGTCCTCTTCCTCCTCTCCCATCTTCACCCCGCCCCCCATCTTTGTGCTCCATTCTCTTCATCGTCCCGTTCCCCACCTTCATTTCTCTTCCCCTTCTCTATGCTCCCCCATCCTCCTCTTTTTCCATCATCTTCATCCTCCTCCATCCCCCTCCCTTCCCCTCCCCCTCCTCCACCTCTCTTCGTCATCTCCCTTTTTCTCTTCCTTGACCCAAGATCCTGGCTGTTCCCTGGCTTGGTTTCTCTTGGCCTCAGTCTCCGCGAGGCCCGAGTGGCCCCCTCTCTGCTCAGGCCCTCCTTGGTATCTTTGGTCAACAGACCCGAGTCCTGGCCTCACCCTGGGCATCTTCTGAACCCCAGGGCTGGCAGAGATGCTCCCGCCGTGGGCACCGGGAAGGTGTCCTAGGACCGGGAGGCGGCGATCCACCTGCCCGACCCGCGCGCCGCGCCCCCCCCTTCCCAGGCTGCCTCACTCGGTGACGTCAGCGCTGGGTCCCGCATCCCGGAGTCCGCAACCCGGTCCCGAGCCTCGCACGCACGGTCATGGCTGCGGTGGCGCTGCCGCTGCTGCTGCTGCTGCTGGCGTCGCCCGCCGCCCCCGCGCCCTCGCATGACCCCTTTGCCCCGCAGCTCGGGGACACGCAGAGCTGCCAGCGGCGGTGTCGCCAGCGCTACCCTGGCCCGCCGCCCGCGCAGGTGAGGGAGGGGCTGCGGGGCCCTGGGAGGGAGAGGGAACTGGGCTGTGGGGCTCTGGGACTGGAGCCAGAGACCAGGGTCCCTAGAAGCTGCGGGGAGCCTGAGAGAAGGGTGCTGGGGAGGGGGAGGGGCTGGGGTGCCTGGGCTGGGAGCTGGAGGCGAGGTCCTTTGGAGGGGGTCTGGGATGGGAGGGTCAGTCACGGGGAGGGGTCTAGGAGTCCCTCGGAAGGGAGCCTGAGATGAGGGTCTCTCGAAGGGGGAGGGGCCTGGGATAGGCGGTCTGGATTGGGGAAGGGGTCATGCTCCTGCCGAGGAGGGGAGGAACAGTTGAGGCCAGTGTGTGTGTGGCAGGAGCCAAGAGAGGCTTCTAAGTGCCTTCACACACACACCCACTCCCCAGGGCAAGGATCCCTGGGTGTCCAATCCCTGCCTCCCCACAGCCTATGATCCTCCCTCCTCTCTCCTCTTCCACATCCTCTTCACTACCTCCCCCTCCAAAACTAGCTCTGCCCCAGTATGACTGAAAAGGAACAAATCCTCGGCTTCTGGTCTAAGAACCCCTTGACTTCTGACCCAAGAACCCCTTGACTTCTGGCCCGAGAACCCCTCAGCTAGCCTCCTTCCCAGACCCCCCAAGTCCTTCACTGTGCAGTCTGTTTAGAAAGCCTCCCAAGTGCCACCAATAATGTTCCAGGAGTCCCCCAATCTCACTTGGGGCTCCTAGATTCTTGCGAGACCCCAGCCTTCTTCCCTGAAGATCCTCATTTCCCCTCGCACCGTCCCTTCGCCTGAGACCCTGTCTCCCTCCCCAGCCTGGCCTGGAGAGCCCTTTGGACGAGTCCCCACAGAGCCTCGCTGCCCTACTCAGCGCTTGCGAGCGTGGCTGCCGGCTCTTCTCCATTTGCCGCTTCGTGGCCCGGAGCTCCAGGCCGAATGCCACTGAGACAGAGTGTGAAGCAGGTGGGGGTCTAGGCTAGGTGCACCTGATGCTGGGGGAGAAGTGGCCTGGGAAGGGCTGAGCCCAAGCAGGCCATTGTGTCACCCACAGCCTGCACAGAAGCTTATGCGAAGGCAACCGAGCAACGCGCCTGCAGCGAGGGATGCTGGGGCCAGACCCCTGAACCTGAATCCCAGCTGGAGCAGAAGGTGGGGCCCCTAGCCTGTGACTCCTGTCATACTGCTTCAAGGCCAGGCTGGGTGTGGTGGTGCCTGCCTTTAATCCCAGTACTTGGGAAGCAGAGGCAGGTGGATCTCTGTGATTTCATGGACAGCTTGGTCAACATATCCAGTTCCAGGCCAACTGGGGCTACAGGGAGACCCTGTCTAAAAAAAAGAAGAAGAAGAAGAAGAAGAAGAAGAGTTTAAAGCCAGCCCCAGCTACATGAGATCCTGTCTCAGAAACAAACTAAAAAAGATATGGCATTCCCAGAGGGGGCAGGCATCTCCTCAGGAACACACAGGAAGTCTACTACACTATAGAGACCTGTGTTGGTTATATAAGCCCTGTTTATCCCAAACCAGGCAGCCTAATATCAACATGGCCCAGTCGTACATCCTCCCCCCATCCCACCGGCATGCTGAACTGTAACTATATTTCTGTGTCTTCGGCCTTCCCTTCCCAGAGAACAGCTTTGGAAGCTCCAGGTGGGACCCTCTCCTTGCTGGACTTACTCTCTACACTCTGTAATGACCTGGTGAGCTCAGCTCAGGGCTTCGTGTCCTCCACCTGGACATACTACCTTCAGACAGACAATGGGAAGGTGATGGTGTTCCAGGTGAGTTCTGGTTGGCTAAACCAGAGTGTCGCCAGTGCTCAGGGTAACAAGGTTTGTGACATGTGAAGTCTGTTGCTAGAACTTCAGGCATTGGTGAATCCAGGCGTTTAGGTCTCCGTGAACAAGCTTCGTTCCTCAGGCACTTACTAGCTAAGTCACCTCACCAGCGCCTTTATCTAGGGTTGCAGTTGAATAGAGATTTACCCTGATTGGGCCTGGCAGGATCATGTGACCACCTGCCAGCCAATCACAGAGATAGTGTTGCCTTGGCCTGGGCATAATCCTACTCCAGTAGGTGACTGTTGGGGATGCAGCCTCGGGATGATGTCCTCCTTACCTGACCTCTAGGAAAACTAGGGGATACCTGGGCCTGAGAGATGCCTGCTGGGGCTCTGGTGGTGCCTGTCTGTGACATCTTGTTCCTTGCTCAGACCCAGCCTGTGGTGGAAAGCTTTGGGTTCCAAGGCAGTCATTTGCAGCGAGTGGAAGTGACCTGGAGGGGGTCGCACCCTGAGGCCCTGGAAGTGCATGTGGGTAAGGACCCAACTGGGTTTCATGGCCCATTTCCCAGGGTCCACAGTCTCCTAGGGTTCACAGTCCATCTCCCAGGGCTTCGTGGTACATCCCTCAGGGTTCCATGCTCTCTCTCCCAGGGTCCTTGTCCAGGCTTGTGACCTTCATTTCAGGCCTACTCACCTGTCTGAGTACTGGCTTCCCTCTCCTAGAGGACTCTCCTTCCCTCTCATTGCTAGACTGGCCTCTTAGGGGCCACTGTTAGCTGCCTGACCCTCAGACCCCGTAGGCCCCCTGGACAAGGTGAGGAAGGCTAAGATCAGAGTAAAGACCAGCAAGGAAGCCAAAGTGGAGCCGGAGGATCAGCAGGAGAATGACTTCCTCAGCTGCATGTCCCGGTATGTGTCCCAGTGGGTGGGTGTCTCGGTGAGTCTCTCAGTAGGTGCCCCAGGTTAGCTGGGTGGAGCTTGGTCTGGCTTAGGCAGCCAAATGTTTCTGCCCGGTGGGCAGGCGCTCGGGGATGCCTCGGTGGATACTGGCCTGCTGCCTCTTCCTGTCTGTTCTGGTGATGCTGTGGCTGAGCTGCTCCACCCTGGTCACCGCACCAGGCCAGCACCTTAAGTTACAGGTGGGTGATACCATGGGTGGCACGGGGCCCAAGGTGGTACAGGAGGCGGGTGGCACGGGGCCCAAGGCGGGTATAGGAGGCCCTCGGGAATCCTTGACTGGGTCATACGCTCTCCTGTGTGCCATGGGAAACAAGGCTCTCATGCCCATCCTGCAGCCCCTGACCCTGGAGCAACACAAGGGCTTCTTGGTGGAGCCGGAATGGCCCTTGTACCCACCCCAGTCGCCTGCCTGGGAGGACAGTCCTCCACCCTACAAGCTGAAGCTGGACTTGACCAAGCTATAATCTCCCAGACTGCTAGCCTAGCTCCTAGGGCTGGGGGCTCCTCCGAATTCTCTCACTCTGCACCCTGGAGCCCAGGGCCAGGGAGGGAACCAATCTTGGGCGCCCCCATCCCCACATCTTTCCTCATCCCCAGCATATCCCTCAGCACCTCTCCAGATGTGGGACACTGCCCAGTGTGTGAGACTCGGGGTCTGCCTGGTTCCCACCCCTCCTCTGTCTTGCTTCTTTGGGGCCTTTTGTTTTTCTCACGTGGCTTTCTGAGTCTTTGAACCTGGTCTGTGTAGCCTTTTTCTTTACTCTTTGTCCTCGGAGGGACTGAGGCCTCCGGGACTCCCCTCCAATAAGGCTTTCTCTTCTCTCTCTGGAGACCCAGCCCTAGAAAGGGGGCAGTAGGGACTCCAAAGTGGAAGGAGCTGGGAAGGAAGAGACCTTTAAATAAAGTGAAAAAAAGACATGACTGAAGCTGCTTCTCTCCGTGCGCCTGCCCTAAGGGAATGGGCTGGGGGGGGACCCTACCTAGTAGTTACTCCCAATCTGCAAGAAGTCCAAAAGATCTTAGAGAACAAGAGGGACAGAAGCCAGGTCACACTCCTGAAGAGTGGTTTCCCTCCAAAAGCCTGACCCTGGCCTGGGTGGGGTAGCGTGTGGAACACTACCTGGGCCCAGGGTCCCTCTTCCAAGCTGAGTCACCATTGAAGAGATCTTCTGATAATTTTGTGGTTATCTGGCTTCTTTTTCTTGGAGACAGAGCTTTGACCCATTGGAGTCAAATTCAAGAGTCCCTCGCTGGGAGATTCTAGGTAGGGGCTCTAAGTGGTCAGCCAAACTCAAAGGTCCAGCTCTGGCCTCTCTCAGTAAGTGGGGATTATCTAAGTAGCATCTCAGTTCTTCCTGGGGCTCACATTGCCTTAATCCACTGGAACACTTGTCTTCCCAACTCTAAGCTTACTCTGTTTCCATGATGTATTACTTTTCTGTTGCTGTGATAAAACACCATGATCAAGGCCACTTACATAAGGAAAAGTTTATTTGGCTTATGTTTTCAGAGAGTAAGAGTTCATCGTGGACGGGGAGACATGGCAGCAGAGATGGCTGGAGCAGAAAGCTGAGCACTCACATCTTCTGGCAGGGACAGGAAGCAGAAAGAATCTGGAAATCTGGCAAGGCTTTAAGAACGGTTAAAGTTGGGGCTAGAGAGATGGTTCAGTGGTTAAGAACACTGGCTGTTCTTGCCGAAGACCCTGGTTCAAATCTCAGCACCCACATGGCAGCTAACAACTGTCTGTAACTCCAGTTCCAGGGATCCAACAGCCTCTTCCTCTTCTGTCCTCCACAGGCATTGCACTACATGGGTTCACTTACCTACATGCATGGCACTACACACATACACATAAAATAAAAATAATAAATAAAATATTAAAAAAAAAACGGTTAAAGCTCACCCCTAGTGATGTGTTTCCTCTAGTGTGGCTACAACCTACTAAAAGTTCCAAAACTTTATCCAAATAGCGCCACGAACTGGGAACCAAGGGTCCACATTTTAGAGCCTATGGGGGACACCCATGCAAACTACTTATCACACATGGCAACCCTAGAGCCTCTTGCCCTGTGTCTCAGGATTCTGGCCTCCTTTCTAGCAGTCCCCCAGGTCCATCCGGCATAGAACAAATCTGATCACAGATCTGGCCCTTTTCTCAGGTCTTATTGTTACACAAAGTCCCTAAGTCCAGTTGTACCAGCAAGGTCCCCAGGATGTAGCCCCAGGGTTGTCACCATTCAGCTCTGTGGAGACCTCAGCGTTCCCACACAGATTAGAGACTCTCTACGTAGCACAGACTGGTCTGAAACTGGATCCTCCTGCCTCAGGCTCAAAGTGCAGGGATGGCAGGTTTAAGCCATTGCTACTGTCTTGATCGAGCCCCCCCCACCCGAACTTTGTTGGTGCAGGGTCTCACATAGTCCAGGCTGACCTCGAATAACTCTGTGTAGCTGAGGATGACCTTGAACTCCTGATTCTCCTGCCTCCACCTCTCTACTGCTAGAATGACAGGTAAGCATCACCACACCTGGTTTGTGTGGTACTGGGGAAACCCAGGGCTTCTTGTATGCTAGGCAAGTACTCTACCTACTGCACCCCCAGCCCCAGTCCCTGGCTCCATTTTAATCTTGATACTGCCTCCCTGTGGGCCTTGGGACTCCCTCTCCAGCTATTTCTTCTGTGCTGTGCTGACCTGAATGCACACCACAGGGGAACTGTCCCTGGGGTTACCTGGGATAGCTGAGGAAGGACCCCAGGTACCTCATGAGGGCCTTAGAGTAGCTCTCCCCACTCACCAGCCACTGGCTTTTTCCACAGTATCGAAAAAGGGGAGGACTCTCTTTGATCATGTAGCTGGTGCCTAACTTTACTACAGCCTTTGGAGCCTCAGTTTCCCCTTATCCCCAAGGCTTTGCCCCCTGTTCATCTTCTGGTATGACATACAGACCAGGTGGTGGTGGTGGGTGGCTGGTGTCATGGCAACTTGCAGGAACACCCATGTGTCCGGGTAGCACAGGGTTGCCATGGGAACCAGTATCCTAGTTTCCTGGCAACAAGGACCAGCCTGGGGATAGCATGAAGTCTTGGGGTAGGGAGCGGGCAAGACCCTTTGATGTGCAGCAGGCACACAACATGGACACTCTAGACATTTGTCGGGACGTTTGACAGACATTCTTACGGAAAGACGGGAATTCCTGCCCATCTAAAGTCAGACCCCAACCCTGAGGCTGCCCAGGTCCCTACGTACATCCTTCCTCTCCTCCAGGTCCCCACAAGGGCTGTTCCTTGTGCCTGGAAGCCTGTTCCTATGCACTCCTGACCAGCACTTCATTCCGAAGGAACCTCAGGGCCTCCCAGCTTGGCCAGCACCCTATGTCACAGTGTCTAACTAGAGTTTTTATCATGTCAACAATTAAGCAGTTGTTTGTTCACTTGTGTGATGATTGGTTTAATAAATGGTCCCTCTGCCAGATGCGACACACTGGGTGTCTTGGTCACAGCTGTGTCCCACACACTGAGGAAGCCGTTCTCAATACATCTTTGTCGACACTCTCCCTGTTTGCTCCGCCTTGCCTCACTTCCCACTGAGTCAATGTGGCCTCATCACTTTCCTTTGAGTTCTTTCTGGCACTGGGCTAGGGCCTTCTACATTACGTCCACCTGGAATATGTTGGAACATTCTGGACTTTTCCACAAAGTTTTGGAATGTTTCGGAACATTCAGGAAAGTTCCGGAACATTCTAGAATAGTTTATATTCTGCACTTATTAAAGCAGGGATGATAACATGTCATTAGAGCACCTATCCTTGACCTGGATGATTCACTGGGTTCCTTGAACTTTCTCAGACTACTGCCTTCATAGCAGTTATCACCCAATGGCCTTTGTTGCTGACCATTGTATATTTCCTATTATGACAGAGTTTGCAAATATTCTGGAACTGGGGCAGGGTTCTTGTCTGGTGTGAATCTAATCAAATTCACAGCAGCAGCTGGCACCCTACTCCCTAGGGTCTCCCTCACACCTCTTCCCAGTTGGCCATTCTGACTCTGCCATTATCAAGTAGGCTTTGTGGAACCTGCTTTTGTTTGCTTAAAAATAAATCAGCTTTAGGGGCTGGAGAGATGACTCAGCGGTTAAGAGCACTGACTGCTCTTGCAGAGGACTCAGCTTTGATTCCTAGCACCCACACGGCAGCTACCAACTGTCCTTAACTCCAGTTCCAGGGGACTCCGAAGCCCTCTCTGACCTCTGTGGCATTGCATGACATGGGTGCATTCACATACATGCAGGCAATACACTCGTACACATAAAAAATAAAAAATAATAAATAATCCGGGCATGGTGACGCACATCTTTAGTCCCAGCACCTGGGAGGCAGAGGCAGGTGGATCTCTGTGAGTTCAAGGCCAGCCTGGTCTACATAGTGAGTTTCAGGACACCTGGGGCTACAGGGAGACCCTGTCTCAAAAAGACCAAATAAATAAATAAATAAATAAATAATAAACAAACCAGCTTTCACTGAGCCTAGTAGTTCATGCCTGTCGTCCAGTATTCAGAAGGTGGGTGGAGGCAGGATCAGGAGTTCAAGGTCAACCTGGGCTACAGGAGACCCTGTCTAAGAAGAATAAAAAAACAGGAGCTGTGACGATAGCTCAGCTGGCAAGCTTGAGGACCTGAGTTGGGATCCACAGGACCCAGACACAGAGCTGGATGTGGTGGTGCATACTTGTACTCCCAGTGCTGGGGAGCAGAGGCAAGAGGATCTCTGGGCTCACTGAGCAGTCAGCCTAGCTGAATCAGTGAACCTCTGGTCACACTACAAGACCACGTCTCAAGAAAAAGGGTGAAGGTTGACCTGTCCTCCACACACATGGTGTACACTATACCCACCCCCATACAAACATGTGCCCACACACAAAATTATTAAAAATTAGATTTTGCTTTCTTTTTTCTTATAGTGTTGAGAGACTGCACAGCCTGAAGCACACTGGACCAGGGCCGCCCTTCACTGAACCTCACCCCAGCTAACCAATCAGCTTTCAACAGCACAATTCATATCCAATCACATAGCCATGTGCCCAGTCCATGAGTTTTGGTAAAACTCCCATGTCATCTCTTTTAATCAATACCTAGAACATTCCTGGGAGACTTTCGCAGTTCAGCCTCCTGCCATGCTCCCCTAGGTATGTCTCCATGGATCATAGAGGGCTGTCTCTGAACATCACTTGTATAGATCAGTCTGTTCCCATGGCATCTGTGACTTCACTCCCTGCTGGAAGTAACATGGAAGGCAAGTGGCAGGGATTCCTCCTTTTTCCTTACTAAATTGCTGTCCCTTGAGCTCTTTTTGGCACTCAGCTAGGCCCTTCTACATTATGTCTACTTAGAATGTTCTGGAACAGTATAGAGTGTTCCAGAATGTTCCCAGGGAATACTGTATCTAAAGCTCTCCTGTGACTATATCTGTTTGTACACCTGTTGATGGGTCTTTGAGCAGTTTCCAGTTTGTGGCTGTTCACTGTGAAAACCTAAGGGCTAGGGAGATGCCTCAGAAGGTAAAGGCACTTGCCACCACGCTTGATATGAGTTTGATCCATTGGAGTCCCATGTGTTGTAAGGAGAAAACTGACTCCCACAGGTTGTCTTCTGACTTCCACATTTGCACCATGTCATGTAAGCACCCACACCTGCAGACAAAATAAATTAAAATGTAAAAAAATTAATTATAATGAATAGAGTGGTGTTCACCTTCCCTAAAATTTCCAGTACATGGTTTTATTTGGAAGTGGGGGTCTCTGTAAATATAATTACTAATGGACTCAGATAAGATCAAGGTGGACTAGGGTAGGCCCTACATACAACTGAATTTTTATTTATCTTTCTTCTTTGCAACTGATTTACCTTTTTGAAAAATATT